ACCCCTCCTCCTCCTCCTCCTCCTCCTCCTCCTGCTCCTGCTCCTCCTCCTCCTCCTTCTCCACCTCCTCCTCCTTCTCTTCATCCTCCTCCTCCTGCTCCTCCTCCTCCTGCTCCTGCTCCTCCACCTCCTCCTCCTACTCGTCCTCATCCCTCCCTGCGAGGCAAAGAGGCAGAGAGGCAGAGAAAGAGAAAGAGGCCGCCAGAGGCCCCCCCCTCGAGAGGCTGGGCTGCTCTCGCCCCCCCATGCAATCGGCGGCCGCCCGCCGCCCCCCCCCCCCCGCGCGGAGGAATGCCGTCCTCACACGCGCAGAGCCTGGGCTTCCTGTCTGGCGCGCCCCGCCCCCCCCTTCTGGCCTCGACCTCGGGCGGGCTGCTTCTGTCGGAGACGAGGCCCCGGGCAGCCGCAGCCCCCGCTCAGCCCGCGCACCGGCGCACGGCCCCGCCCGCGACCGCTGCGTCGCCGCCGCCGGTGTGCCTCGAGATGAGCAGGCGGGCAGCCACCACACCCCCAAGCAGAGGAACGGAGGCAGGGCTTGAGAAGGGAGGGGTGGAGGAGGAGGAGGAGGACAAGTCCGCTCCAGAACGCTCCAGAACGCTCTCAGAGCGCCCGGCGACGCTCTGGGAGAAGGCCGCGGCGCCCGAGACACCCTCACAGAGCCGCGGGATCGCCGAGCTTCCCCCGTTCGTCCTCGCCCGGCTTTCGCTCTTCGTCCTGGTCTCGCGTCTTGCTTCGGCGGGTTGCTCCCTGTCTGCCCCCTGCCTGGCGCGCCCGCCTCCCCCCGCCCCCCCCCCTCCTCCTCCTCCTCCTCTTCTTCCTCCTCCTCCTCCTCCTCCTCCTCCTCCTCCTCCTCCTCCTCCTCCTCCTCCTGCTCATCCGATCTCCGACGATCCGATGTTTGCAGCCCGGGCGCTCCTCCTTCGGCCGCCGGCCCCTGGGGCCCGCGTTCGGGCCACGGGGGGTCCACGTGCGGGAGCCCCGGGGCGGAACACATTGGCCCCGGCCTGTGGCCGCGCAGGGGGACACCTGGGGCCCGCAGGCTGCGCACACGAGACATGGTCGGAGGCCTGGGCATTCGGGTCCTGCCGCCGGACGAGCTGCGATGCCGCTGCCCGGACTGCCTCTGCCGCGCTGCGACGTAAAAATGCAAGGGCGTCCGGATGGCATCGAGAACGCACGTGCGTGGTCACACATATTCCTCTTCCTATATTTTTACAAGCCCGGGCGGGGGGAAAACCCGTCCCATCCCAAAAAAAACCGGACTCCCGGGATCTGGGGCTTCGGGAACCTCCAGACGGGCCTCGAAGCGGCCCCCAGGCCTCGCAGGGCGTTTTGCCAAGCCTTCCCAGCACGCCTACGGCGATCAGGGTGGTCATAGGAGACGTCCCAGAGACCCCCAAGACAGCACAAGAGCGCTCCAAGAGTGACCGACGTGACCTCGAGATGGCCCAAGAGGCCTCCAGGACGGCCCCAAAGAGGCCTCCAAGAGCACTCCCAAGAAGGCCCCCCGAGGCAAAAATCATGGATTTTCTGTTGGTTTTTGGTGAAGTCTGCGGTTCTCCTCTATTCGGCTTCCCGACGCTCCAAGACGGCGGTCTTCTGGGCGTTCGAAGCCGCCTGGGGGCTCCAAAATCGCCCCACAACCATCCGAAAGGGCTTCCAGGCAGTCCAAGCGAGCCCCAAAACGGCACAACACGGGTCCAAGATGGCCTTCAGAGAGCCCCATGGCGGCCCACGATGGCCCAAAGACACCCTCCGAAGCATTCCGAATCGTGACCTGGTCGTTCAGGGAGACCGCGGTTGGAGGCAGGGTGGCCCGAGGAGGCCCCCGGAGGCCCCCAGAATACGCCCAGGAGGCCTCCATAAGGCCTTAAGAAAGCCTGAAACAACTTTTGTGAGGGCCCCAGAGGCTCTCCAAGGAGGAGCCTCCGCAAAAAAGAGCTGAGGAGGACGGGGAGTGTGCGCAGGGTATGGCGAAAATAACGAAACAGAAGCATGGAGAAAGGATAACGAATAACATTATTATAGCGGCGATGCCGGAAAATGCAACAATGAGTTATCGCTAAATTGTCGGCTTGACCTTCCTGCTATTTCGCCGGCATGCCGAACTTCAAGGACCAAGGTGCATGGCGCGAAGCGCCACTGCAGTCTTGTATAATTATATATATATACACACATACATACATAGATGCACTGTGGGTAAGTTCCTCGGGGGCACCGTCTGCGTCGTCTGCTTGATCGGCCGCTGCTTGGTGTGTTCGGTGATCGATGCAGCTAGTCGCCACCAGCCACCAGCCACCAGCTGGAGGGGCGCATCGATACCTGACAGCGCCGCGTGCTCCGTCGTCTGATGCGGGTGCCACGGCAGCCCAGCGAAGGAGCGCCGGCACATCTCCGCCGAAGGGCCCAGGAAGCCATGGACCTCTGTCGGCGGAGGCGCTGGTGGAGCCATCGTCACTGCACTCGGGTGCCGGATTGGCGCGAGCACCTCGGACGGCCACGAAAGCGTCGTCCTCGGGCGGCGCATCCTTTACATTGGCAGAGCGGGCGCCTGCTCCCGAAGACAGAGAACTCGGCTGAGCAGCGGCAGCGTTCATGCCGGACGCACGAGCACGAGGCTTGTCTAGTCCGTTCCCCACGACAGCGGAGGCACGATGGCGCCTGAGTTGCAGTAGAGCGCATCATACTGGGCCCGCATGCCATCATGAGCCCTGGTTTGCCCCTCTTGGCTCCCACAGGTGAGCGTGGCGCCCTTCGGTCATTGAACCCGCTTGGTGCTCTTCTGCCCGCAGTTTGGTGCTGTGCACGTGTCTTTCTTGCAGTTGTATCCCGCTTCCTGAGTCGGAAACTGACTCTGGCCTACGAGATGTGTTTATGTATACCCGTTTGTACGCATGTATATAGACATGTATATATATATATGCGTGTGTTCACAAACGCGTGCATGTATTGGCGCACATGAAAATACATGTGTGTGCGTACGTTTATGGTATGTGTATAAGCACACTCACCGGGTGCGTTCCACTATTCGCAAAGTGCCTACTCGCAAACGTCCGAAAAAACACACGTTCGCCTCGATATAATTGATCATACATCCTCCGCGGCTGATCCAGGCCATTTGCGAGCAGTGACTTTGCGAGTAGTGGAGCGCGCTTGCCTACACACGTCTGTAACACATGAGTGCTTCCACATGCGTATGGGGCTGTGTTTTGAGCCTGCCGAGGGCCTCTTCCGCGCCGCGGCTGAACATACGCACCGGACACCTGGCCAGAACGCACCCTGGGAGAGAGGTCCCAGGCTCGGTTCCCGAGGCTCGGCACAGAGAGAACTCGGGGTCCTGCAGGAGTGCGGTCGGTCCTGAAGCTTCCTCGCCGAGGTCGCGCTGCGCCCACCAGCCGAGGCAGAGGCGAGCCTGCAGAGGAGCGCCAGGCGAGACCCGGCAGGCCGAGCGAGGCGAGCCAGTCCGCGAGAGAGCCTGCTGCTGCGGAGCCTGTGCGCGCCTCCCTTCCAGAGGCAACCTCGCCCTGCCGGGCTTGCTCCTGCTCCAGGCTCCGAGGGGAAGAGGGGGAAGAGTTAAGTCGGGCCTGCCCCCAACAGTGTGGGATTTTGGATGAAGAACAGAAATTAGTCCAAAACATGCCATACAAGATTCAAAAATTAACAAAAAAAATCGCCCCCAGACTATTTTTGGACTATTTTTGAATCTTCCTCCTGTGGAGGGACACTCCCGACGTAAGGGAAGAGGGGGCGAACGAGTCACCACGTCGGAGTTCCGGGGGGCGAGGAGGCAGGAGGAGGCAGGAGGGGCCGTCCAGCCCGAGGGCACGATAGGAGGGCCCGAGGGGCCGGCCAGCCCGAGGGCATCGTGGAGCGCTGCTTCGGAGAGGCCGCGGCGCCCGAGAGGTCCTCCCGCTCCCCCCTCCTCGCTCCTCTTCCCCCAGTCATCGCGAGAGGGGGAGAAGACAGAGGGTGGAGGGTTATGCTGTTCCGTCCTACCTCAGCCTTGGCCACCAGAGAGAAGCTCGAGCACCAGGGGAGTGCAGAAGCCGGAGGGCTTTTTCAGGTGTCGGGCCCTGATATGTGGGATGTGGGTCTAAAGTACGACGGTCGGGTTGGACGAAAGGGGGGGATTGGGAAAGGGGGGATTACGAAATTTGCTGCATGCAGCTGGTTTCGGCCTCAGCGAGGGGCCCATTCCACGAGACATAGCCGCCTCCGGCGCCGGGAGGCGCCAGGAAAACCAGCTACGTGAGCTGATTCTCAAACCCCCCCTTTGCTATCCCCCCCTTTCGCACGACTCGAGACGGGAGCAACAGAAGTAGAGCGGAGGGAGGTGGTGGTAAGCTTTATCTTCGCCCTGGAGTCTGACCCCCAGGGTTGCCTGGGCGGTCCCATGGAGCCTGCAGGCCTCCGGATGCCCAGGCACTGCCAGAAACGGGCACGAACCTCACGAAAACGCCAAGGGCAGGCGGGAGTGAAGACACCTCTTAGCAGGAGGAGGAGGAGGAGGAGGAGGAGGATGAGGAGAAGGGAAAAAGAGAGAGAAAGAGAGAGAGAGAGAGAGACAAAGAAGAAGAGAGAGAGAGGGAGAGCGACAGAGATAAAGAGAGAACGAGAGAGGAAGGGAGGGGGAAGGAGAGAGACAGGGAAGGAGAGATGGATGAAGGGACAGAGATAGAGAGAGGTAGACAGTGAAGAGAGAGTGAGAGAGAAGTGGGAGAAAGATCGAGAAAGAGGAGAGAGAGAGAGAGAGAGAGAGAGAGACATAAAAGAACGGAGAGTATGAGGAGGAGGGTGGGAGACAGGACAACAACGAGGACGAGGAGTAGTAGTAGTAGTAGTAGGAGGAGGAGGAGGAGGAGAAGGACAGAGGGATGAGGAGAATGGAAGAAGGAGGACGAGGAGGAGGAGGAGGAGGAGGAGGAGGAGGAGCAATCATATAAGCCGAGGAGGAGGAGGAGGAGGAGGAGGAGGAGGAGGAGCAGGAGGAGCAGGAGGAGCAGGAGGAAGAGAGGGAGAACGAGGATGGGGAGGAGAGATGGAGGATGTACGCATAGACTCGCACACATAGATAGTGAGAAAGAAAGAGAGCGAGAGAGAGAGAGAGAGAGAGAAAGAGAGAGAGAGAGAGAACAACAAAAGGTGAGTGTTGCAGGCTTATAGAGAGAGAGAGAGAGAGAGAGAGAGAACAGAACATGGCGAGTGTTGCAGACTGGAGTATGTAGAGCCACCTGTGCAGATGTGAACAGGTTACGTCGAGAGACGGGATGAGGATGGGGCGGAGGCCCCTCCTGCCTGCGTCCAGCTCCCCCCCTCCCTCTCCTCCCTCCCCCCATCACCCCTCGGAGGTTGGCCTCGGGGGAGAAGGGGGAGGGGGAGGGGGAGGAGGAGGAGGGGGAGGAGGAGGAGGAGAGGAGGAGGAGGAGGAGGAGGAGGAGAGGAGGAGGAGGAGGAGGAGGAGGAGGAGGAGGAGGAGGAGGAGGAGGAGGAGGAGGAGGAGGAGGAGGGGGGGAGGAGGAGGAAGAGGCGCCGCCCCGCCCTCCGGAGCGCCCAGGCTACGCCGCCTGCGGGCTGCTGACCCTGGGGTGGCCCGCGCCCTGGCCCGCAGCCGCGGCGGGCTCGACGCTGGCTCGGGGGGGGGGGGGGGCCGGGATGAAGTCGGGAGCGTCCCCCCGACAGGGGGAAGATTCCACAACAGTTCAGCAATAGTCTAGGGACGATGTTTTGGGCTATGTGTTGACCATGTGGGTGTATTTGTTTGGTTCTTTTTTATGTTTCGTCCAGAAGCCGCCTGTAGGGGGACATGCCCGACCTAAGGCTGGGACTGTCATGCGGCGGCGAGGCGTCATGGACTGCCTACAGGCTTGCCGCTTGCCCACGGGCCCACCCTTTCTCTTCCTCCCTCCTCCGCCTCTTCCTCCCCCTGGGTCTTCGCCCGCTTCCTTCCCTCCTCCTCCTCACTGTAGTGCGTCGCGGAGCCGGGGTTGCCTCTTCAAATACGGTCGCCCTGACCCCCCCCCCCCCCGGGCCTCGGGCCATCGCCAGACAGGCTGTCACCACTGTAGGCATTCGTGGCGCATCAAAAGCAGCAACGACTCCTTCGGTAGCGAATCGTGCGAACCTGGCATGTCCGTGCAGTTCCGTCTTGAGAGCGCACTGGCGTTCGTTAGCGTCGACCTCGCGTCGAGCAGCGTCGATTTAGCGTCGAGCAGCGTCGATTTAGCGCCGAGTAGCGCCAACTTAGCGCTGATCAGCGTCCATTCGTAAGGGCCAGCAAGATGGCATGGCTCCAGTGAGTTGCCACCGGGGAGTGTTCTGATAACTTGTTGTTGGCTTGCACGTGCTGCTCTTAGGACATGTTCTGGTTGAGCCAGTCCTGTTTCAGTCAACCGGTTTCGCGTTCCAAGAGCACTGTGATGGTGTCTAGAACGTACTTTGGCTCTCAGGGCCTTCATTGCCTCGATGCGCGCGCTTTCAAGCGCAGCACGTCCCGTGTTCAAGACGTCTGTTTCAACACGTGGCGTGTTGGCTCCACGTATTGGACCACGCCTTGGCGAATGTATCGCTTCGGACCTACGTTTTCAGCCTACGTGTTGAGCTCCGGATCGTGAGGCCTCGGTTAGCCGCGTTAGGCGTGGCCTGCCCCGGCTTCCTTCGCTTAATTCGTCGCTGCGTAGCCCGCTTTGACCTGACTCGCCGCCGGCGCGCTCGCCCGCAGCCGCTGACTAGAAGTTGAGCTCCGTATCAATACGATACGCGTTGCGTGTTGCGCATCGTGGCAGCTGAGCTCGGGACAGTTCGCCTTAGGCCCATATGGGGATGCTGGGACGGTCGGCCCCTGCTCGAGCACGGGAGGGCGCCATGGGCGAAGCAGATCGCCTTCGCGCGCACGTGGAAGCACATCAGGCTCGAGAGGACGCATCGCGCGAGAGTTCGTGAAGGTGATTCGGGGGTGGGAGGAGGGCGAGGGGGGAGGGGGAGGAGTGCGAGGGAGGGAGGGAGAAGGAGGAGGGAGCGGGGGAGGGAGGAATGGGAGAGAGGAGGGACGAGGGAGAGGGAGAGGGGAGAGGACGGGCTAGGTGCGGTCGCGCCATGCCTGGTATCCTACCCTTCCCACCCATCCCTTCCCATTGCTCTGATTGCTCTCTATATGCGGGCGCGCGCCATAGCGGACCTGGATCGCCCAACAAAAATCCCACCGCATTCTGCGCCATCAGATACAGGGGAGCTGGCACACAGGAGGAGCAGAAGGTGGCGGATGAGCGGGAGGACGAGCACGAGGAGCAGGAGGAGGAGAGGAGCAACTGTCGTCGTTTTATGACTCATCCTTTTGCCGATCGGTGCGGGCCCTCGCACCCCCGCCCTTCCCCCCCCCTAAGCGGAGCAGATCTTGGCTGTTTTTGGCGCCTGTTTCGAGCAGGTAGAGTCTCCCCCATAGGACGCACTGCTGCAAACAGTGGCGTTCAGCAAGGGGTCCGGAGCCAGACACCCCCCCCCCCC